TATTACATATTCTTGTAGCTGACCTCGAGAGCTTTCCAAAACGCTATAATAAAGTATTTTAGTAATTCAAAAAGTTCTTAATAAAAAAAATACTTTATTATAGCGTTTTGGAAAGCTCTCGAGGTCAGCTATAAGAATATGTAATAAAAAATAGGGGAAGCCGTTTAAAAAAATTGGTGTGACCTTTATGTGACCTTCAAATAATTCTTCAAGATCAAACCAATGGTACCATCTTATGTCCCCCTCGAAACCATACAACTTTTGTCTGAAACATTTTTGTCTGCTGGGCTCAGTTTTCGAGATATTTTACTGTCCAAGTTAAAATGGGACACCCTGTATATAATACATTGGCTGTATATATTTTGCTGAACCTTCGCTAGCTAAGCAGTTGCTCGTTTGGTAGCGGTTTCGATTGCAGTGCCGATCATAACAGCCTCGGCGCTTCTGTCCAGCCAAACATTTGTAAGCAAGCGCTTGCCGCTTACGTGAGCTTATCTAAGTAGAGGTTCGGCAAAACATAGGCCGGTATTCATAGTCAGATCTTATATTCAAGTCTTAAGATCATCTTTAGATACTCCGTAGCCAATGAAATGTTCCATACAACATCTTTAGATAAATTCAAGACGGTCCTGAATAGAAGATTCGACTATGAATACCGGCCATAGACATGGGTTTGTTTTCTGTTCCTGCACTGGTGAACTAGTGCAATAAATTAGAGTAAGACAAGCATACTTTTTCTCATTCTAGCTTACTGCACTAGTTCACCAATGCAGCAGGAACAGAAAACAAACCTATAGATAAGCACAGCTCGGCCAAGGGAGGGTCCCTAGCTAAAACCAGCGACTAGCTGTCATTTGTTCAGTCTCTCCAGTCTTCAACATGTAAGGAGCGTGAGAGCTGGGGTACACTGAGCGAAGAAGAAGCTATCGCTAACCTACTGATATTACTGGTTTATATAAAAGTTAAGAACAGCTGGCGTTGGTGCTACAACTCTTCCGACAAGTGTTAACGATAATAAAGTGCGCGTTTAAAATTGAACGCAAGATGTGACGTGTGATATAGGTATATTCATTCTTCTTTCATTTTCGGGGGCATCCCCCGACAGCGATGATTTCAGTGGTTTGACTTGGTCGCGTTGCAATTTTCGTAAGTATACATTTCTTAGCGCACATAATAAAATAATAGAGAAAAGTCCCTTATTATGAGACAGGCTCCTAATATGAGACGGCGGGGTTTCCGCTAAATTAATGGGCCTCATCTGTTGGCTCCACCACGAAGTCGTTGACCCCGGAGCGAAATCTGTTTAGTCGAAAATTAATTGTTAGAACGTGTAGTCGTTGCGAAAAAAGATTTGGGATGAAATTTTGGTGTTGAAAATGTATTTTCTCGTTCATCAGAAAATCTCTCTTGTGTAATCTTTAATGCTTAATTATAATTAGCTGTTGCTGCTGTATAATAGTTAATTTTTTTCTATCTTTACACAAGGTAATAAGTGCAAAAAGAAAAATCAGAATCATTTATGAGTCAGTAAGGAAATTACTCGTGGCACATTGATTTATTCTGATTTGTCCGGCATATTGCAAAGTTAAGTGAAAGACGCGTATCGAAGAAAAAGAAAAAGAAATATAAGAAAGTAAAGAAGCATCTGGGAATTAAATATGGGTAAGCGATGCAATATTTTTCTAATATGACAACACTCATATATCACATTATTATTTTTATAGCGGACGGTGGAAATCAGGCGCCGAGTTTGTTCGACAAAATGGAAAACTTTCCACCGTTAGTTGCGGGAAACAACGTCAGTAGAAATTGGTACACGTGGAAACAGAAATTTTTATCTTTCCTGCAGAAAGAAGACGCCAAGGAGTCATATAAGAAACAATGGACAGTTATATTGTTAATGTTAATTGGACCGCTTGGAGAAGAAGCGTATAATACTCTGTCTCAAACTGCACAACGGTCGAAGGATCTGAAAATAGTATTACGCGAGCTAGATATTTACTTCATTTTCGGCATTAGAAAAAGACAGAATGGCGAGAGTATCGACAAATATGTCGATAGATTAATGGTAAATTGAAATTACTTTTTGATAATGCATCTTGGAAAAATACGATCATAACATACTAAATACTTCAGAACTATTAATTCTTTTATGTATATTATGCTAAATTTGTTAAAAATAATGTTTTCTTCCGCTATTTACAGCTCTTTAAAATTGAATTTGTTAAGACGTCATGGTTATCAATCACTCCCGGTAAAAACTTTTTCATGCATGAGCATGCATAAATATAGAGTATTATATAAAGAGATACATCAAATATGTCCATACATATTTTTACATTTCATATTTCTGTATACCCAGATAGCCAGTGTGGGCGCGAGTTACTTTTATATCACTAACAAAAATGTTAGCATCTTCCTATGCATCTATGTCGCCTATTGTGCTGTTGTTTGCTAGCAAAGCTTTGATGTCGGAAATGAAACATTTGCATGATCCAAACGATATAACATATTTATATCTGTTTAAAAATTTAAAACAATGTATGCTAACTTAGTCCGTTCGATGTGTTCTCTCCTTAGCTGTGCACTTAACTGCAATAATATGTAACATTACGCTAGCTATACGGTCATGGTCGGAAAGGTTATTCAAAGTTTTACAATAGGTTTTCGGAATATTTGTATCATTGCATAGATATTCGTACATATCGTTCCTTTACTCTAATAATGCGTCATCGCGCGTATCCGTGAGAAAAAGTTATAATCTCTCGCATGATAGACATTCTCGAAATTTATCATAAAATGTCGGACAACCTTTCTGACCACAACTGTACTTAAATCACTCAAACATTGAATTCATATTCCTAGCAAAGAGCTAGGAAAAATAGCTCATCTGTTGCTGGAATTTTTTTATTTCCATACATTGCTTGAGCATACTGGCTATCTGGATAATTCTACACCCCATACAGCACAGATGGTTGCAGTTACATTGCAGAAACGTTGCAATCTTACAGATTGCAGTGCAATCTTGCAGAGACATTGCAGAGGTATAAAATTGCAAACTTTCGATAGCAATATTGCAGCAATGTTTAAAAATTAATAAAAATACTATATTTTCTATTTAAAAAATTTTTCTAATTACGAGAATTTTATAATGTTATTTTCGTTGATACCAATAATGCGCGAATTATTAAGTACTTGATCAGTGCGGTGTTGCTCGCAATCTCCATCTATTGCGAAGCGACATAATCTCCTTAGGTTGCTTCGCAATAGCTTGCTGTGTATTGAAAAAGGCCCGGATGCATATGTAATTAGTAAATTCTCTGCTTATGTACAACAACAACAAATTATTCCAAAAATATTGCACTGCAACATTGCTATAATGTTGCACTGCAATCTCTCTGAGGGCGGACATTTCAACGTTGCTGCAATCCTCCAGAAACATTGCAATCTTGCAATGTAACATTTCTGCAATCTTCCTGCAATCTTTTTGTGCTGTGTGGGACAGTTCTATATAATTTATACATGTTTTTATATGAACAATTTTTAAAAAGAAAAATTGCCCGTTTATAATTATCTAACTTTATACAATTGTACAAAATTATAAATAAGCAATTGTTTACATTACAATTTCTTTCATATAAAATAATGTCTAAATCTATAAAGTTATACACAGAACTGTGTAGAATTGTAAATTTGTAAAATTCTCTAAAAATATACAATGTAAAAATATGTGTGGACATATTTGATGTATATTTTTATATAATTGAATATATTTATTCGTGTTCATGCATAAACAATTTTTTACCTGACTTTATGTATGTAATTCATAAAACATTTATAAATTCTTTATAATTAAATTCATAATGAAAATGTGGATTGTATATTAATAGAGGAATTTAAGACTTAAGAAATAATAATTGCGATAATAATTATTCTTTCTCCGTACATTATCGTGTGTATAAAATGTAAAAAATTATTTTTTCCATTTGTTTCCTTTATTCGTTTAATTCGCGTTAATGTAAATTCACATAGACGTCTTCTCTTTTACAGCTTCTTGCCATTGCAAGTAATCACAATGATCCTGTGAGCATTGTGAAGGAGAAAATTATAGAGGATATTAAAAATTACAATTTCACAGGAAGAGCTGCGCTTCTTGTGCGATCAAAGGGAGACAGTCTGGTATTGTATTTGCAGTCGTTGGACTTTAATCAAATTACGCTGTTTTGGAAACAGTGCGAGGAATTAATGATGCGAGAAAATCGCGAGAACGTACAAGGGCGGCCTTTTAATTCGCCGTCCGCTGAAATGGAATGCGCTCGCTGTGGCACTCGTCACAACAGAAACCGTTGTCCAGCTCATGGGCTGCAATGCGACAACTGTAAAGGGTTCAATCACTTTACAGATAATTGTAAAGTAAAATACGTGTCTAACTGCTCTAAGTGTGGAACGCATCACGTTCAATCACGTTGTCTCGCTTTCGGCAAATTGTGCACTAAATGCGGCAAGGTGAACCATTTCTCCTGGTTGTGTCAAGTTCCTACTGTAAAAGATTGCCTTAGATGTGGTGGTGACCACGCTATATCTATGTGTCCGGCACAAGGTCGTGTATGCTCCCGGTGTAAAAAGCCAAACCACTTTGAGGAAAAATGTCTAACTAAAATTGAGGATGAACAAGAAAAACGTCCGGTACAAGCGTGTCTTCGCTTAAATAAGCAGTAGCACACGAGTGTTTAATTCTCTACTTTATCTTAATCTTGATAATTTCTCTGATCTGTTGAGAGATTTTTCCATCTAGCAATAAGCAAAGGTCAAATTCTAATTTTCAGTATTGAACATCTGTAAGTGGATCCTAAAATTAAAACTCTATCTATCAAATTAAAAAAAACAGTTTGAAATTGAGGAATGTAATATTGTTATCTGTTTATTCTGTGAAGTCTATTTGAAACATTTCTTTAATGAGAAAAAACTCTAAGTTATTGGTATCTTGAAAATTATTAATGCCTTCTGTCCATTTTAAACATTTTTGTTGTACACACAAATCAAGTTTGAATTGATTGGAGAGTTTGTTTGAAATTAAAGTCTTGAGATATACAAGCCGGTGAGTCACAACATT